GGACAGAGGCAGAGGGTCGCCGTGTCCTCACCCGGGCGTTTGCACCAGTCCCGGCCTTGACCCGTGTTCGGGGGCCTGCTTGTCCAACGTCAGGCACCGTGCCCTAGGTTACACACAGGTATACCAGGGAGCCTAGTATTTACATGCCAGAAAAATACCGGATACCTTGAAACCTGTGACAATAAAAGATGGATTTCCAGATCAGAAAAGGAAATTTTGATTAATATTACTTAATGAGAAAACTGCCAATGCAGTGCAGCTTTTATTAATGTGACTTTTCAATCTGCATTTCATATATGAAAGGAAAGGCGGCAACACATGTACCCCAGAACTCTTCTGCCAGCATTTTCTTGCACAACTCTTGCATGCATGTACACCCCCCACACGCACCCCCCACGCATCAACTGCCAGTGTTCAGAGGCTATTTCCTTCTGTGTTTTTCTGTTGCTGAAAAATGGAAGTTCTTTGGGGTCTTGCTTAGAAATTTTAAGACCCTAATAATTACATCTGATTGTAAATGGGCTTTTAACTGATTGTTGATGTGCAAGCCTATTACTATAATGTACTTAAACGTACATTATTTAAATATGTATTTTAGGAGTTCTTGCTCTTACTTTGAGTATTTTAATCTCACTATTCAAGTTATCTGCGTAGACTAATCTGGCAGTCTTATGCAAGCAAAATGATGAAAAATGTATATTTAGCAGTATTAAAATACAATGTATAGTATGAATTACACAATACTGTACAAGCAATATGTGTATTTCTGATATTTAATTGTTTATAGGCCCAACTTTTTCTTATGTAGCTAGCAAGATAAGGCACATTTCTTCTGATCTGCAGAAACCTTTTAGCACCATTTCCAGCTTCTTTGACTGGAAAGATAAATCAAACATAAAGTGATTCTGCAATATGAACAAATGTCTATGTGGATCCAAGAAGAAATGTAATTTTTTTTTATATTTAACAGTAGTACTCTCTTATTCTAGCTGAGAAGATCACCAGGGGAAGTGTGTTTTCCAGGAGGTAAAAGTGAAGCAATTGATAAGGATGAAATTGATACTGCCCTCCGAGAAGCTAAAGAAGAAGTGGGACTCCAGCCAGAGAAGGTGGAAGTCATCTGTAGGCTTGTACCTGGAATTGATAAAGTAAGCAATAAAATGAGTAAGTCAGCATATCATTAGAAAATAAACCTAGGTTATTTTCTTTTGTAAGGTTGATAATGACCTTTTCAAACCTGTAATTGTAAATAACCACCACTTCTTAAAAGTGGACAGCCTGCATTGTCAGCAGAGCAAAGGGAAGGGATTCTTGCTCTGCATTTGGTATTTGTGAGACCACATTTGGTGTACCACGTCCAGTTATGGACATACTGGAATACCAGAAAGACAGTGGTATACTGATGAGAGTTTAGCGGAGAGCCACAAAGATAGTAAGGGGGCTGGAGCATGTGGATTATGAGGAGAGGCTGAGAGAATTGGGTTTGCTCAGCCTGAAGAAGAGAAAGTGAGCAGGGGATCTAGTTACTCTCTTCAAGTACCTCCAGGGTGGTTATACAGAAGGTGCTACCAGACTCTTCTTGAGACAATGGAATTTTGATGAGATAAAATTTTGAAATAACATTCTTTTACTTGGCACAAACTTAGTGGGTTTTGTTTTTTTCTCCTTTTAGATGAATCACTTGGTAACACCAGTTGTAGGATTTATAGAGGATACATTCCAAGCCATTCCTAATCCAGATGAAGTGAGCGATGTTTTTGTCGTGCCATTGGAATACTTTGTCAAGCCCTTAAATTACAAGACCTTGCCTTATAAAACCTCATCTGGTTACTTAAGTCGGATGCACTGCTTTATATATGATGACGATGAACATAAAATGTCATTCAAGATATGGGGACTTACTGCACACTTTGCTGTATTTCTTGCTCTTGTAATTTTTGGAAAGAGACCTACCTTTGAAGTTGATTATGATCTTGACAACTTAATTTCATCCTCTGAGAATAACTTCATGAATTTATATGCATCCTTATATGAAAGAAAGAAGAGTAATCTATGACAAACTGATCTGGCGATTAATTTATATTAAAGGAGGAAAAAGAGTTTTGTTTATTGCTTTTGTACCTATTGTTTGATTGAATTTCACACATGAATTTCTTCTGAATTAAGAATTTATTAAAATTTATTCTTAAATAATATTTTTAAATTGACAAGCCCTAACTAGATTCATATAATTTTTAATCTGTTTTAGAGTTGCCAAAAGCACATGGTATTTTTGATGGACTTAATATACAGATTGGGAAGTTCTGTTTCAGTTTCTGCCTTTATTTTGTGTGATCTAAGACACTTTCTGTGATTTACCTTCTGTATAATGAGATAATACTATCTATTTTTTGTCTGTTTGAATTAGAATATGAAAAGTTTTGGGGATCTGTCTGTCTCTTACTGTGTGGCATACTACATACAGACAACATAATGCATACCATCTTGTGCGGTACCTTTAAGCACTTATGAAATGCACAATAAAAATATAAAAGGTGGCAGGTGCTTTCACAATCTTGGTTTTTTTTGGTTGGGCTTGTGGAGGGAAGAGGGAGGTTTAATGAGTTTTATTACTCTTGCTCTCTTGCTCAATTTAACATTTCTCACAAGGAAATTCTGTAGGCTGTGGAGGACTTGCTATACAGGCAACAGTACTGAACTTTGCTCCTCAGCATCTTGTTGGCATCACTCACTGAGCTCCTAGAGGGAGTTATTGTAAGGAAAGAAAAGTGGAGTTGAGTATTCATGAGGACTAAAATGCTTATCTGTAGTTGAACCTTTACCAGTCTCCCTGGCAATGTCAGATAGCTGGGGTTCTTTGTGCTGTGAATCCTTGTTTCTTCACTGCTGGTAAACTAGAAGCTTATTCATAGTGGTTGTGATCTTATTGCCAAATGGTTAAGTTTTTAAAAGGACAATTGACTTAGGCTGGATTTGAGATGTATTTTGCAAGTAAACAAGTTACCAGTCCTTGAACAGCTGATCTTCTCTGAGTAATGAGTGCGAATTAAAAGCATTCATTGTCTCTCAGAATCACGTGCCCTAGTGCTAGTGTTGAGTAAGGTGAAGAAAACAACTTGGTTGTTCTTCTGGGTGTTTGTGCTCCCCCCCCATTCACTAATGGATGCAAGCGTGAGCAAAAAGTTGCTGGCAATTCCCATGAACTGTGCTGTAATTGAGCAGAAATCAGATTTTTACATTAAGCAGCTTTTGTACTATACTTGAAGTTGGCTGCGACTTCAGCAAAATGCATCCTTTTCACAAATGTTTCTCAGGTATGGCTTGAATAGCTAATTATGATTTTCTAGGAAACCCAATTCTAAGATATTTTTTTTTTAAGCTTCTGATAATTGCATCCATACCATTCTTCAGCTGTTATGCTAGGACAGAAGCATTTAGGCACTGAAATATCAGCTTGTGTTTGGTTGGTAACTGCAGCATGACCTTTTACTGAAGAAGAGAAAGATGCTGGAGTTGCACTCAATTGACAGAAGCATACCAAAACAAAACAAGGCTAAAGTCAATGCAAATCTTCTTGCAAGGACTGTTTCCCTTTGCCTCCTCTCCCTGCTACAACTGTGCAATACTTAACTCTCTCTTCCCAGAGGTAATTCAGTGGTAGATATTCTACTACAGTAATCTGGCTGAAAATATTCTTTATGCTGTGGCGTTAAAGAAGTATAAGATGATTGGCAATCAGAATACTGGGCTGGAAAAGGCCTCAAGAATTAGCCTAATCTCTTGCTCCCTAAAGACGGAATCAGATACATGATATTCTGATATATACCTATTTTTTTCTTAAGCTTCCCAGGACAATCCATTGTAGTCCTTTAGCCATGCTTTACAAAGTTTGTCTAACTTAACAGATATTAGTTGTAGTAAGGAACACTTCTTGTCCTGTACATAGCAGAATGGTGAATAGCTCCTTAGTTACTTTCTGCACTCGTGAAAACTACGTTGCTTCCTGAGGCATCTTTAGACTTAATGATCAGATTCCTTCAGGTTTTTTTCATCAGTCACATTTTCGTCACATTTTCATCACATTTTGCACACCTCTTGTCATTTCTGTTGCTTTCCAGAATCTTCAGTGAAACTTCCTCCCCTATTTTTCCCCCCATCAAATATGTGATAACCAAACCTGGTCATAGCATTTTAGGCAACCATTTATTTGGGTTGGATAGGACAGGATTACTCCACAGCTCCTTTTTACATATCCCATTGTGATTGCTGTTTGTGAAGCAGCATGGTAATACTGACTCATATTCCACTTCCGCTGAAGTTGCCTCATCCTTTTCTGAAGAAGCTGCCAATTGTTCCTATATTTGTAATTTTTGCATTCTGTATTTGAACAGTTGATTATTCCTACCAAATGTAGCACTTTACATTTGTCCTTATTGAATTACATCCTGATTTTTTCAAAACAAATTGTAATCATCTGCTACCGTGTTTTTCAGACATTTCCATTTTGCTGTTATCCTCAAGTTTAATTATTATATTTTGTTTCATTTACAACTTAGAGAAAGCACACTCATAATAGGCCTCTGCAGAATCCCAACTAGTAATTGCCACTTTCACAATGAACTACTAACTACTGTGTGTGGTTTTCTAACCAGCTGTGTAACATACTACTATTAGTTTCACATAGACCAACCTTTCTTAGGTTGCACACAGGAGCATTAGGCAGGGCTTTGTCCAAAACGTGAGGATTTATAGTTCTCCCTGTACACCAAGCCCGTTACCTGCCCAACAGAGGAGGTAAACACACTTGTCAAAAACAGTTCATAGGAAAAAGATAACAGTTGCTACATATCTCCATGTTAATTAAAGTACTTTTAAGTAAAGGTTATTTGTTTCGGTATCTTCCTAGGAATTGGAACAATTTGAGTTCTCCAGTTCTTTCATAGGGCAGTGTTTACTTTTTCCTGGCCTCTGGTAGGGAAGAAGATAAAGTTCCCAAAGTTTCAAAGATAATTGCTAATAATGTAGAGATTGGTTTTTAAGAGAATGGCTGTCGCATTGGGACGTTTCAAAAGATTCAGCCAGATTGAACATTTTAGCATATCTAAATACTATCAAACCTTTCATGTTCCTGCATTAGCTCTTTTGGCACCTCTGTTAATTATATTTGATACCAGTTGAATTTTAAGTTAAAAGACAATTTTATTTTTTTTTGCTAGGATGAAATCCTTGGAGAAGTAGTCACCACATTTATGAAGAACAGCTTTATTTTTTAATTATTAAACATTGTGAAATTGTTAAAATGTTTTTAGAAGCTTAACTTTAAACTCTTCATCATGTTATTTATATCCTGAGTGGTTTCTCCCAGTGCTAATGTATGCAGGAAAAGTAGCTAATTAAAATAAGAACATTGTTAATTAAAATAGAGCAAAGCAATGAGACCTTTAATTAGTAAACAAAACAGGTACCAAGAGACATAATTACTAACTTACCATCCTCCTCTGTTCCCAGCAGACTTTTTTCTCCTTCATCTCTCAACCAGATCTGGCACAGAAATTGTACAAATTGTACAAATTCAAATTTTTATTTCTCTTTTTTTAAACATTATTATGTGGAACTTTAAGGACAACAATTACAGCTGTTGCTCCTTTTAGCAAATGCAAATCTTGTTGATTTTTTAATCAAATCAACCATTTGAACAGTTGAAAAATGAAACTTACAGAGGTCTGTCACGGTTTAACCCCAGCCAGCCACTGAGCACCACACAGCCGCTCACTCACTTCCCCCACGGTGGGATGGGGGAGACATTCGGAAGAGTAAAAGTGAGAAAACCCGTGGTTTGAGATAAAGACAGTTTAACAGGTAAAGCAAAAGCCATGTGCACAAGCAAAACAAGACAAGGAATTCTTTCACCACTTCCCATCAGCAGGCAGGTGTTCAGCCATCTCCAGGCAAGCAGGGCTCCATCACACGTAACAGTCACTTGGGAAGACAAACGCCATCACTCCGAACACCTCCCTTCTTCGTCCTCCAGCTTTACATGCTGAGCATGATGTCATCTGGTATGGAATATCCCTTTGGTCAGTTGGGGTCAGCTGTCCTGGCTGTGTCCCCTCCCAGCTTCTCGTGCAACCCCAGCCTACTCGCTGGTGGGGTGAAGAACAGAAAAGGCCTAGACTCTGTGTAAGCACTGCTCAGCAGTAACAAAAACATCCCTGTGTTATCAACATTGTTTTCAGCACAAATCCAAAACACAGCCCCATACCAGCTACCATGAAGAAAATTAACTCTATGCCAGCCAAAACCAGCATAAGGTCCATCCAAAATCCTTGAGTGATTTGCAGTAAAACCACTGGGGCTTCATGCTTCACATTATGCATCCAAATAATTTTACTGACATTAGTTTGGAAATTTGGGAAGTACTTTCTTAACTCAAAAGAGTCACTCTTTATTTAGATATCCATCTGGGATTTGAGTGCCTAAAAAACTCCTTTGAGCACAAAAAGAAGGAAATTTAAGTGCTTGTTATTAAAACTGCAATTCTTCAAGTTTCATATTTACTAATGGAAAATTGTTTCCTTGGGCAATCTTTGGATAAAATTCTTCCACAGTTCTTGAGGCAGAAAGTAGAACGTGACCCCCCTCCAACCTAGTCAGCCCTCCTAACCAATCCACGTCATGTTCTTAGTCTTTTTCCTACCTTCAAGAGGGAAGGAGTGGAAAGTGCCCTAAGCAGAGTATCATGAAGTGTGGTGATACAGGCATTTTTCAGGATACTACCTCTGAAGTATGAGAGAACTGAAGGTGTGTATCCCTCACTCCCGGATAAATGCCCTGTGTAGTTACATAGTGTATTAAAGGGAAGTTGCAGCTGCTCTGCACTTCATGTTTTTAAAGGAGAGTGTGACTGTGCCTTGTTTGTGTGAGAACAAACTCATGAAAAGGTCGATCCTCTGGGGAGATGAATCTTTCCCTGGCCCTTGGGCTGCAGAAGCTGTGTAAACTTAAAAGGGAAAATATCTAGCAAATGTGCTGTTCTAAGAATTTCCTATTGGAAAATGCTATATTCTGCCCGTAAACTGGTTCATGGCCTAGAACAATTAGCTTTCCCTTGTACTGCATACAAATGTTTAAGCATCTGAAAAAGGCCCTGGTTTTTGTTCAGT